TACAAGCTGCCTGATTCTGCTCCCTGCCAGAGACATTACATAGAACTCTAAACTCCAAACTCATCTTTGCTTCAGTGTTGCTCATTCATGTAGTGGCTGGAGCACGACTGTAATTTAAACATACATGAAATAAACTGAGACTTGCTGAAAAAGTAGCAAAACAAATAAATGTGTATTTTTTATGGATAATTGAAAATTTTATGGATAAATTAAAATTATCACCAATAAACTAAATAAATAAGTAAAGAAATAAAATCCAAAAAATCTTAAATCTTACCTGAATTTAATGCAAAACTACGGATAAAGACTTCTCCAAAATCTGTCCTGTAGATAATGTCGTACGGTAGAGAAAGCAAAATAATTGAAAATAAAGGAAAAAAAAACATATAACAATTACTTTTCAATACTATAAATTCTCGATCTCCATTATTATATAACCATTAAAAATATATTTGAATGGCACTTACAGCTGCTATGACTTTTGGCGCAAGAGCCTTAAACTGTGGGGTGTCTCTGTTATCAAGTTCTTCAACATATGGTTCAGAAATAATTGCTTCAACTACAAACACTCGAGCAGGACCTTTTGTTGTTGTAGCCGGAGCAGCTGCCGTTGTGGTTGCAGCAGCTGTGGTGGTTGGGGTTTGAGTTGTTGGAGTTGTGGTTTGAGATGCTGCTGTTGTGGTAAAAGTGGCTGTAATGGTGGTGGAATCAGCTGTTGTTTTGATCGGGGAAGCAGCTGTTATGGTTGGACCCTCTATTGTTGGAATAGGAGCGGCAGTCGTAGTACGAACAGCCTTTGTAGTATGAGCAGCTGTTGTTGTAGTAAGAGCAGCCGTTGTGGTAAGAGTGGCTTTTTTTGTAGGGCCGGATTTAGTTGTGGTTGGAATGGCTGTTGCAATAGGGGCCACTGTAGTAGTGGTGGGAGCAACTGTTATAGTAGAAGCAGTAGTTGGTGTAGTTGAAGCACCTGATTTTGTGGTCAGACGAGCTGTTGTTGTGGGTTAAGAGAGTTTTGTTGTGGTGGTAGGAGGAGCTTTTGTTGTAGTAAGAGCAGTAGTTTTGGTAAGAGCAGCTTGTGTAGTTGTAGCAGCAGCTGTTGTTGTGGTCAAAAGAGCTCTTATTGTGGTAGAAGCAGTTGTTGTTGTGGTACAGTAGGAGCAGCTGTTGTTGTGGTAGATGCAGCTGTAATTGTGGAAGAATTGCAGTTTTGGTAAGAGCAGCTGTTGTGGTAGGAGTAGCTGTTGTTGTGGTAGGAGGAGGTGTCGTGGTAGATGCAGCTGTTGTAGTGGTAGGGGCAGCTGTAGTTATGGTAGGAATAGCAGTTGTGGTAGGAGTAGCTGTCATTGTGGTTGGTGCAGCTGTTGTCATGGTAGGTGCAGCTGCCACTGTGGTAGGAGCAGTCATGGTTGGAGCTGCTGCCGTGGTGGTTGGAGCAGCGGTCTTTGTGGTAAGAGTGGCACTTGTTGTGGTAAGAGTGGCTGTTGCAGAATTTTACCAAGGTCAACAGAAGCAGCTGTTGTAGTGTTAGGAATTAATCAATGTTGGTTTTGTATCATTCTTATCTTTCAGTATGTTTTGATTTCAATTAGAAGCATTTTCTCATCCATTTCAATTTTAAGATAACTCATTCTCCATTTCCCCCATTGTAAAACTTTGCGACTTAACTCAAGATCGACAATGCACCTGGTAAAATTTAGAAACTGAAGTTAATGTGGTTTATACAGCAAAGGAAAATTGTTTCAATATTGCCACTGACTTGAATTAAGTTGTTTGAACCTAATACTTCAATCAGATAATAAAGCTTTGGTCTAACTACATGAAAACTGTCTTTGCCTAATCAATCAAGCAAACACTGTTTAATTACTTTCTCCACATCATCCGATAAAATAAATGAAATACAATAAAATAAATTAAAGTTTCAAGTTACTGGAACCCGAATTCCTGAATTGGACTCAGGAATGTGTTGCTTAATCTGTAAAAAAAAAACAACAATTTATCTGCATTATGCTAAAACAGATCTATAACTCTTCATGTTTGAGTAAACATTTGCAAAGATGATATCAAAATTTGCCTTTTAGGCTTTTGCTTAGGCTATTATAAGCAAGGGTAATCCAATCCAAGGAGGGTAATCCAAGCTGTGGTCAGATGACATGTCCAATAAGTGGGATCCAGGTAGCAGCCCGGACAAATAGAACAGGCAAAACTCAGAGGGGCAGAAACAGGTCAGAAACAGGCAATGGCAGATATCTGCCTAAGAGCCAGGAACCCTCTGGAGGCCTCTCTGCTGGGAACAATAGGGCTGAAAACTCAGATTCATTCCTTGGACAATCTCTTCTATGAGCTACACATTAGGAAATGTTTTGCCACTCCAACGTTTCGAACAATTTAGCATTGCCTGCTAATAACGAGATCACGTACGTCATCTTGGCAAGATCAGAAGGAAACGCGGAAGGCTGCAGCTTAAAGTGGATCTCGCACTGGGTTAAAAAGGGGTGTATGTTCTTCCGACTCACCCCTAAATAACTACGTGCTCGACAAGCGAGGCTCTTGGCCGACCCCTCTAGCTGGCCGAAGCATGAGCGTTTTGGTCACTGATCTTTTTTTCCGCTTTAGCCCCACATCCATTCGACCCCTCCCCTACTTAAATCCTCAAGAGTTTTCTTTTTGAGTTTTCAGTTATACTTTTATTCTTGTCTAGTTTATTGGTTTCATATTCATTTGGTGGTATTCTAGTTTTTTTTTTTTGAATTCTTATGCATTTCTTGTTTACCCTCTGTTAGCCCTCTTTTGTCATCCTCCTTCTCCTAGCTCCCCTCTAAATTCTTCTGTCCACACCTGCTCCCAATCTGCTGATTAGCCTGGTTTTTGTTTAGTCTCTCATTTATTCTTAAGACAGTTTAAGACATCCTAAGACAGCTAATTTCTCTGTTTTTCTTTTTTTATTGAAATAAAACACTGACTAAAATTTAAGGCTTCTGAGGTATTAATGCACCAATTGTATTACCTAACAAAAGAGAAAATTGTACATATAACAAATGTCTAGACAAGGCAAAACAAATCTATACTACAACTCTGCAATCCTGCTTTAAGTTGTTGAAAATATGACAAATTTACAACAGTAGAAGGAAGTTTTGTTATAACACCCTGGATCTTAGAAAATGCTAAACAGATAAGAGAACTTAGTGAATTTATCTTCTAGACCAGGTGTTGAGACCCTCAGTTGAATTAGGATAATGATGGGGACATTCAGGAAGAATGTTTGAGGAGTAGAAGCACTCTTGGACTGCTGTTGGATTCACACTTTTTTTATGCTTTCTTGAAATCTCATCTAAAGATTAAAGTACAGTATTTTATTCTTTAGAAGGTAACATTCCTGTAAACTAACTTTATCATGTCCACTGTCAGAAAAAAAAAGAAATCTTCTGAAAGGATGGAAAAAGCAGTCATAGGCACTCAAAGGCAGAGACCCCATCTGCGGAAATTCAAGTTGTGCTAGGTTCTAGGTGCTAGTTCTGAACTCCCCCATGGGTAGCATTAACTCTACTATGGCAGATCACAGGCAGCGTATTTGCTATTTGGATGGTGATACAACTACCTCAGACACTCACATTTAATGCTTTCATGTTATTGGCTTACCACAGGTAGAGCTCATTGTCTATCCGCTTTTCTTTTTCTCAGGGTTTGTCCAAAGACTTTGGTCATGACACACTCCCCTCCCCTCCTGTGATAGACAGTGAGCATCAGACCCCTGACTTCAAGCCCCCCTCAGGATTGCTCCCTCGCCCTCTCATCCTGCACTATCCTAGTACTTCAATTTGTTCCTCTCTCTATGACATGACTGTTCCTCAAACAAATCATATTCAGTTTCTTAGTATTCCAAAGTTATACATACGTTTGTGCACAAATATGCATACTGTATGTGTAGTGGTATCTCAGCCCTTATACCTTATATTAGAAAATGTTCCCTGTTTTTTCCAGTGCATTCTATTTTCTGTGACCGGTTTTAAAGCGTTTATATCTAATAACTCAGAATGCATGCACCTTGTTCATTTAATGGACATTTTGTGGCACCAAAGCACAATTAACACAGATATAGCAGCATGTCAAAATGAGAAGATGACAAAGCAGCCACAAGCAAGTATGTCTTTATTACTGCTGTTAAAAAAGTCCTATTATTTTCAAGGATAAAAAAAATACTTTGAGTCATGTTTGAAGTGATGCAGCTTGGATTTTGTTTTACTCACCCAATTTTCAATTATATATTCAGAAACTAGAATATGTTAGCTTTCAAATGATGTATCACACATGTAATTTGGGCTTACAGTTCCTTATAGTTTTTTGCTTTTCCATTTGGGATGCAAAATAGGTGAGAATTTCCCAAAATTAGGAGGCTAGAATGGGCTAAAGATATTTGTCTAAGCTAATGTCTCTCCAGATGTATACGCAGCAACAATTTGGGAGGCATGTAAGGCTTATTTTTGGAGGCAGAGAAAAAATTTGAATCAGTATATCTTAGAAAAACAGCCACACAAGAATATCTTGCCCTATCTATTGTTAGGCTGTCCCTTGCCCCAGACCTTAGAAAAAAGGTTGTTGATAAAAGGGGTGGAATTGGACTCTCTTACCTCTGATGCAACTGGGACATTATTATTTAAAAAAAAACTGTTATTATTATGAATTTTGTGCCAAGTTCAACAACATTGTTACTTATCAAATTTAGAAGAGACCTTTAACCCAGAACATTGCTCAAGTTAATGTATCCCACTTGACATTGATAATCCATAAGCCATCAACAATAAGTTCACAGACTTCCATTGTACTTTATTCTCCTCAGAGTGTTTAACCACTTAAGCTTATCATGAAAGTTTCTTTGATAGTTTCACTAACCCTAACACTGACCTAGAATCAGCTGCCTAATTAGATAGACCCCTAGACCAAAGTTTTTATCAGATACCTCGGGTTCTTTTTTGTCATGAAATTAAATGAGAAATGACAGTGAATATCTGTGTAAATATATTCCTTTAATAAAGTTACATATTTTATAAACATGATCAAACATTTTTTTTCTCATTTGCTTCATAATATATGTTGTTATACAGAAAAGTTTGCACTATATTTGACCAAATTATAGATACAGAATATATTTGTAATGTAAATACAATAAAAAGAGAAAGATCAACAGACAATCATGGAGGGCATTACACAGACCACTTTGGTTTGAATTACTTTGCATTGATCAAAAAGGGAGAAATATTGAGGATTGCATGAAAAGTCTTGAAACTAAACAATCCCTAAGAAATTATCTTAATGTTTACATTTAAGGATGATTATTTATGTTACTGTCACAAACTTCACCAACATATTTGGATAGGCTGGCATTCTAATTGCAAGAACTATTGTTCTATGGTATCAATAAATCAATAAATACTTAAACGTTTAAATTTATGTTTAATTCTTGGTTTCCAATCAGGACAGCATCCTTCATTCCCAGGAATCCAGCAGAGACTTTATTGCTGGCTTGAGAGAAGCCATGAGAGCAAGACCATGCAGAGTGCAGTGATGAGGCTCATATTGTGGTTTACTCCACTTGACACCTCTGTAAGTGTAATAAAGAACACAACATTATTTCAACAAACTCCACAGTGACATTATAGGTTCTAAAATATTCCTTTCTGTTGTAATAAATTTTGAATTTTGCTTACGTGTGCCATCCACAAAAATGGAACTTGTGTCAATGTTGAAATCTGTGATGTTTGAAGCTGCATTGACCAAAACCTCTGATATCCGAGTGCCATTAGGGGCTGATGCTGCTGCAAACCTGAGGTCAATGTTGTTGATGATTGACCCGTTGCTGCAAATATTTTAATATCTCAGTTAATCTGTGGCCGTTTCATTATATTTATCAGAATTTAACCGTCAACAATTCAACAAATCCTACCTAAATGAAATCACAAACAAGTTTCGGAATGAAGAAAACGATCGCCGATAGACTGGTTCAAGCTGTAGAAAAAAAAGAAAAGAAGAGTTTTCTATGAATAGTTCATTTGCATAATTCAAAGTGTAAACAATCACAGTGATTTTTCGGAGGGAAGAAAACTCGCACATAGACTGGTTGAAGCTGTAGAATGACAAAAATGGAAGTTTTCTATGAATAGTTAATTTGTTAAAGTGTAAACTGGAGTATATATATATATATTTTAAAGTGTATAATTTAATGAGAGAAACAATCTACTTAAAATCTATAATCAATCTTTTTACTTTCATTATGTTAATGAACTATTCAGTTTTTATCATTACTTCATTAACACAATTCAAAGTGTAAAAAGAAGTATGAGTAACAATTTAAATGCATAATTTAGAATTTGAAGAGTTACTTCTGAACTTTTGAAAAGTTACTGATCCTTCAAAGAAGCATGATTAAATCTTTTCAAATCGTATGCTTTTTGGCGCTTAACATCTTTTCAGTTATTATAGAATGTAAAGATAGAACTTAATGTTTGTAATTTGTCCATGATTCTTGCCCTTTGCAACAGATTCAAAAGGATGGGGCACCGTGAGGCTTCTACAGTAGCTGTTTACAGATTGAGATTAACTATTTGGATTTTGATTATGCAACACGGTTTTATTTAAAGCACAAAGGACTATACAAACTTTGATTGCCACCTTAGTAATAAACAAGTTTTACCGTCTGGTCCAGTCAGTTGTGATTTTTTGTTGACAAAATTACGTGGTTTCTTTTAAAAAATATTACAGATCCTATCATTCCTAAAATATAGTTAAATGCAAGATTATTTTCCTGTTTATTTAGCAATAGTGATGAAACAACTTCACTTCCAGCTAAAAAAAAAGACTTACGTTGGACTTCAGAAGTTGAGCTCGATTTCGAAACGCTGCAGACGAGGAGTCTAGCAAATCATTTGTGAAGGTCTCACCAGCAGACCTAAAAGTCAGTCGTTTTGTTACTGTTGCCTCCACAGTAGTAGCAGTTGTTGTGGTAGGAGCAGCAGTCGTTGTGGTGGTAGCAGCTGTTGTTGTGGTAGGAGCAGATGTTTTGGTGGGAGCAGCTGTTGTTGTGGTGGGAGCAGATGTTGTGGTGGGAGCAGCTGTTGTTTTGTTTGGAGCTGCAGTAGTTGTGTTAGTTGTTGCTGTGGTGCTTGGCAGAGGTGTGCCTGGAAGAGAAAAAATAAAAAAGATGTTATTGTCATAAATACTATCTTTCCAAATCAATATGTACAGTCATTGTTCAATTAATCTTTATCAAATAAAATGAGCAAATCAGTAAATTCTAGTTTTTGTCAAGTAAGGTAAAATCAAATGTAAATGGTGTAAATTTTATCATGTTTTGTTTTTAATTCTTTCGAAACAAAGTGAAATTTTATTGTTTTACTTTTACTAAATATTTCTAAAAATCTGCCTCCTGAGACCCACCAATTAATTTCTGTCCTCTGTACTGGCCATGATGTTTAGAGCTCTGATGCAAAACTTTTCATTGGAGTCTATATCAGCCCCACTGTCCTTAAAAGAGGACATCCTGCAACATTTATGGTTGTTAGGCTAGCAAAGCACAATTAATATGATTTCAAATTGGTGGGAAGAACTGCATACACGTTATTTGGCAGTAGGCAAGGTAAGTGATCTAAAGAAAACATAAATCTATATCTTATAATTAGGCTTACTGTTTAAGTTGGTAAAATGTGTGAAATGTACAGTAACACTAAGCCTGACAAAATGGAAGTTTTATTCAATATCTTTTGTAGAGGACAGTGGGACTTGCTGGTGACTATTTTCAACAATTTTTCATACATAAGGCATAAAAGTTTTTAAATTGCGGTAGGGGGGCTCAGACACCGAGATGCTAAGAAATTTGTCCAAACAGTTGATTAGAAAGGTGAAACTTAGTACAAATTATGTTTTTACTTTGTGAAACTCCTGTAGTAATGCTACAAGAGACAAAGTAAAAAGCATCACAAGCATGAATGAAAAGCCATGTAAAAGCTGGGGGTAATACTTTTTTAAATCAGTATCAACAAATGGTAGCTTGTATAATTTTACTTGGGAAAAAGTATTCATTTTTTGGTGGTGTTTCCATCAACATTTTTGTGGGCACATTTTGAATCATCACATTAGAAAAGGTTGGTAAAAATAGCGACATTTGACACAACTTCCTCTTTTTGGCATTAGCATTACATCTCCTGCTCCATGTCTCCACAGAATGTAACATCACTAAGTTATTAATGTTACACTAACTCTAGTTTATTTGATGGAAAGGTCACAACTTAATGCACTACAGATCAGTTGTAGATCTGCTGTAGTTGAGTACAATAAATTTTAGGATAAATCTCAAACATGTAATAATGACTGTTTATTGCCAAATATTATATTTTACCTTTAAATTGGACCATTGTTTGAAGAGATGTGAACTTTAAAACGGCACCAAGTTTGTTACCAGATTTAGGAATAGCTTTGGCCTTCAAAGTAACCATGCATACAGAATCAGATACTGTTGGTTCCCAGCTGCAGACATACTGCCTCTGTCTTCAGGATACTTGTGCAGGCTGTGGGGATTGAACCGGGAACTTGCAACCTTCTCGAAGCACAAGCGCACTGCTGTAAACACTAGGCCGGCACTCCCCTCCAGCTAAAGGAAGGGGAGTACTGTGGGGTCGATCAGGGTTGGTCAAGGTGTCTATTGTGGGAACAAACTAATGAGTGGGAACAAACAACTGTCGGCCTCCTCTGGATAAATTCAATGATAAATAAATGTTTGAATGTAATCTCTAACTCCTGCTTAATCATAATTTCTGTTCTTTGTTAACCTATGGATGCTGGGGAGGTGACACAGGGACAAAATCTCATTACTTCACTTTAACAGATGTTATACCATTTGTGTCACACATGTCTTTAAACTGTCTGATACATAAAGCTAAGTCAGCCCAACAGGAATCTTGGAAAACAGAGAAGCCAATACTGCAGACATTTTGACTTCATGTTTCTAACGAGCTTAAGGACCGGATTCTTAGTCACAGAGTAGTCCAAAACAGCGTTTTGAGAGTAATTATGGTACATTTTCTATATAATTATATGTTTTCAAAAATAATGATGTACTTTGAGCATTCCGAAAGTGAAGATACTTTTCTTAATGTTTTACATTTAGAAAAGTAAACTGTATGCAAGTCCTAATGTCCAGGGAAATATTCATTTAATACAATCTAAATAAAGAACACCCTACAAAAAACAATTTGCATGATGTTATTTTCAGCCTCAGTACTTAATCATAATTTTAAAAAATCAGTTTTTCTTGTGGGTCTCAGCAAGCTATTTAAAAAAAGTTGAATATTAGCTGTGTTTATCCATAGTCACACAGAGACAGAGAAAAACAGGTCATGTTTAACTAAAGGCCTACATTGCTCTCTTTGAGTACAGTGTTAGACTTCTATTTACTTACGTGTAACATTGACGGAGTCAGCTACGAACGATACATTAAAGGTAGTCGAGTTTATTGCCTCTATTAAGGTGTTTTTTACAGCTTCATCATCTGGAAGGTTCTGCATTGGTGTGGTTTCATTAAACTCCAAACCCATCTCTGCTTCAGTGTTGCTCATTCGTGTAGTGGCTGGAGCACGACTGCAATTTAAAGATACATGATATAAACTAAGGCTAGTTGAAAAAGTAGCAACAAAAATTTGTAAATTCTATGGATTAAGTAAAGAATTCAAACTTAATAAGGAAAGAAATAGAATCAAAAATACAATCAAAAAAATTTTGAATCTTACAGGAATCTAATGACAAAACTACGGATAAAGATATCTCCAAACTCTGTCCTGTAGATTATGTCGTACTGTAGAGAAAGCAAAATAATTGAGAATTAAGAAAAAAAGATATAACAAATACTTTTCAATGCTATGCATTCTTGATTTTAATCATTATATAACCATCAAAAATATATTTGAATGGTGCTTACAGTTGCTGTGACTTTTTGCTCAAGAGCCTTAAACTGTGGAGTGCTTCTGTTATCAAGCTCTTCAACATATGGTTCAGTAATAATTGCTTCAATTACAAATACTCGAGCAGGAGCCCTTGTTGTTGAACCAGCAGTTGATGTAGTTAGAGCTGCAGTCGTTGTAGCCGAAGCAGCTGCTGTTGTTGTTGTAGCGGCTGTTGTTGTGGTAGGAGCAGCTGTTGTTGTAGGAGAAGTAGTTGTTAAGGTGGGAGCAGCTGTTGTAGTGGTTGGAGCAGGTGTTGTTGTGGTGGTTGGAGCAGCAGTTGTGGTTGGAGCAGTTGTTGTGGTAGGAGCAGGTGTTGTTGTGGTAGGAGCAGCAGTCGTTGTGGTAGGAGCAGCAGTTGTTGTGGTGGGAGCAGCTGTTGTTGTGGTGGGAGCAGCTGTTGTTGTGGTGGGAGCAGCTGTTGTTGTGGTGGGAGCAGCTGTTGTTGTTGTCGGAGCAGCAGTTGTTGTGGTGGGAGCAGCTGTTGTTGTGGTAGGAGCAGCTGTTGTTGTGGTAGGAGCAGCTGTTGTTGTGGTAGGAGCAGCTGTTGTTGTGGTGGGAGCAGCTGTTGTTGTGGTAGGAGCAGCTGTTGTTGTGGTGGGAGCAGCTGTTGTTGTGGTAGGAGCAGCTGTTGTTGTGGTAGGAGCAGCAGTTGTTGTGGTGGGAGCAGCTGTTGTTGTGGTAGGAGCAGCAGTTGTTGTGGTAGGAGCAGCTGTTGTTGTGGTAGGAGCAGCAGTTGTTGTGGTGGGAGCAGCTGTTGTTGTGGTGGGAGCAGCTGTTGTTGTGGTAGGAGCAGCTGTTGTTGTGGTAGGAGCAGCTGTTGTTGTGGTAGGAGCAGCAGTTGTTGTGGTGGGAGCAGCTGTTGTTGTGGTAGGAGCAGCTGTTGTTGTGGTAGGAGCAGCAGTTGTTGTGGTGGGAGCAGCTGTTGTTGTGGTAGGAGCAGCTGTTGTTGTGGTAGGAGCAGCTGTTGTTGTGGTGGGAGCAGCTGTTGTTGTAGTAGGAGCTGCAGTTGTTGTGGTGGGAGCAGCTGTTGTTGTGGTAGGAGCAGCTGTTGTGGTGGGAGCAGCTGTTGTTGTGGTGGGAGCAGCTGATGTTGTGGTGGGAGCTGCAGTTGTTGTTGTCGGAGCAGCAGTTGTTGTGGTAGGAGAAGCTGTTGTTGTGGTGGGAGCAGCAGTTGTTGTGGTGGGAGCAGCTGTTGTTGTGGTAGGAGCAGCAGTTGTTGTGGTAGAAGCAAATGTTGTTGTGGTAGGAGCAGCAGTTGTGGTGGGAGCAGCAGTTGTTGTGGTTGGAGCAGCTGTTGTTGTGGTAGGAGCAGCTGTTGTTGTGGTGGGAGCCGCTGTTGTTGTGGTGAGAGCAGCTGTTGTTGTGGTAGGAGCAGCTGTTGTTGTGGTAGGAGCAGCAGTTGTTGTGGTGGGAGCAGCTGTTGTTGTGGTAGGAGCAGCTGTTGTTGTGGTGGGAGCAGCTGTTGTTGTGGTAGGAGCAGCTGTTGTTGTGGTGGGAGCAGCTGTTGTTGTGGTGGGAGCAGCTGTTGTTGTGGTAGGAGCAGCTGTTGTGGTAGGAGCAGCAGTTGTTGTGGTGGGAGCAGCAGTTGTTGTGGTAGGAGCAGCTGTTGTTGTGGTGGGAGCAGCAGTTGTTGTGGTGGGAGCAGCTGTTGTTGTGGTAGGAGCAGCAGTTGTTGTGGTGGGAGCAGCTGTTGTTGTGGTAGGAGCAGCTGTTGTTGTGGTAGGAGCAGCTGTTGTTGTGGTAGGAGCAGCTGTTGTTGTGGTGGGAGCAGCTGTTGTTGTGGTAGGAGCAGCTGTTGTTGTGGTAGGAGCAGCTGTTGTTGTGGTGGGAGCAGCTGTTGTTGTGGTAGGAGCAGCTGTTGTTGTGGTGGGAGCAGCTGTTGTTGTGGTAGGAGCAGCAGTTGTTGTGGTGGGAGCAGCTGTTGTTGTGGTGGGAGCAGCTGTTGTTGTGGTAGGAGCAGCAGTTGTTGTGGTGGGAGCAGCTGTTGTTGTGGTAGGAGCAGCTGTTGTTGTGGTTGGAGCAGCTGTTGTTGTGGTGGGAGCAGCTGTTGTTGTGGTAGGAGCAGCTGTTGTTGTGGTGGGAGCAGCTGTTGTTGTGGTAGGAGCAGCTGTTGTTGTGGTAGGAGCAGCTGTTGTTGTGGTAGGAGCAGCTGTTGTTGTGGTAGGAGCAGCAGTTGTTGTGGTGGGAGCAGCTGTTGTTGTGGTAGGAGCAGCTGTTGTTGTGGTGGGAGCAGCAGTTGTTGTGGTAGGAGCAGCTGTTGTTGTGGTAGGAGCAGCAGTTGTTGTGGTGGGAGCAGCTGTTGTTGTGGTAGGAGCAGCTGTTGTTGTGGTGGGAGCAGCTGTTGTTGTGGTGGGAGCAGCTGTTGTTGTGGTAGGAGCAGCAGTTGTTGTGGTAGGAGCAGCTGTTGTTGTGGTAGGAGCAGCTGTTGTTGTGGTAGGAGCAGCTGTTGTTGTGGTAGGAGCAGCAGTTGTTGTGGTGGGAGCAGCTGTTGTTGTGGTAGGAGCAGCTGTTGTTGTGGTGGGAGCAGCTGTTGTTGTGGTAGGAGCAGCTGTTGTTGTGGTAGGAGCAGCAGTTGTTGTGGTGGGAGCAGCTGTTGTTGTGGTAGGAGCAGCTGTTGTTGTGGTAGGAGCAGCTGTTGTTGTGGTGGGAGCAGCAGTTGTTGTGGTGGGAGCAGCTGTTGTTGTGGTAGGAGCAGCTGTTGTTGTGGTGGGAGCAGCTGTTGTGGTAGGAGCAGCTGTTGTTGTGGTGGGAGCAGCAGTTGTTGTGGTGGGAGCAGCTGTTGTTGTGGTAGGAGCAGCTGTTGTTGTGGTGGGAGCAGCTGTTGTTGTGGTAGGAGCAGCTGTTGTTGTGGTGGGAGCAGCTGTTGTTGTGGTGGGAGCTGCTGTTGTTGTGGTAGGAGCAGCTGTTGTTGTGGTGGGAGCAGCAGTTGTTGTGGTGGGAGCAGCTGTTGTTGTGGTGGGAGCAGCTGTTGTTGTGGTAGGAGCAGCTGTTGTTGTGGTGGGAGCAGCTGTTGTTGTGGTGGGAGCAGCTGTTGTTGTGGTAGGAGCAGCTGTTGTTGTGGTAGGAGCAGCAGTTGTTGTGGTGGGAGCAGCTGTTGTTGTGGTAGGAGCAGCTGTTGTTGTGGTAGGAGCAGCTGTTGTTGTGGTGGGAGCAGCTGTTGTTGTGGTTGGAGCAGCTGTTGTTGTGGTAGGAGCAGCTGTTGTTGTGGTGGGAGCAGCTGTTGTTGTGGTAGGAGCAGCTGTTGTTGTGGTGGGAGCAGCTGTTGTGGTAGGAGCAGCTGTTGTTGTGGTAGGAGCAGCAGTTGTTGTGGTGGGAGCAGCTGTTGTTGTGGTAGGAGCAGCTGTTGTTGTGGTGGGAGCAGCTGTTGTTGTGGTAGGAGCAGCTGTTGTTGTGGTGGGAGCAGCTGTTGTTGTGGTAGGAGCTGCTGTTGTTGTGGTAAGAGCAGCAGTTGTTGTTGTGGGAGCAGCTGTTGTTGTGGTGGGAGCAGCTGTTGTTGTGGTAGGAGCAGCTGTTGTTGTGGTGGGAGCAGCTGTTGTTGTGGTAGGAGCAGCTGTTGTTGTGGTAGGAGCAGCTGTTGTTGTGGTGGGAGCAGCTGTTGTTGTGGTAGGAGCAGCAGTTGTTGTGGTAGGAGCAGCTGTTGTTGTGGTAGGAGCAGCTGTTGTTGTGGTAGGAGCAGCTGTTGTTGTGGTAGGAGCAGCAGTTGTTGTGGTAGGAGCAGCTGTTGTTGTGGTGGGAGCAGCTGTTGTTGTGGTGGGAGCAGCTGTTGTTGTGGTTGGAGCAGCTGTTGTTGTGGTGGGAGCAGCTGTTGTTGTGGTGGGAGCAGCTGTTGTTGTGGTAGGAGCAGCAGTTGTTGTGGTGGGAGCAGCTGTTGTTGTGGTAGGAGCAGCTGTTGTTGTGGTGGGAGCAGCTGTTGTTGTGGTGGGAGCAGCTGTTGTTGTGGTGGGAGCAGCTGTTGTTGTGGTAGGAGCAGCAGTTGTTGTGGTAGGAGCAGCAGTTGTTGTGGTGGGAGCAGCTGTTGTTGTGGTAGGAGCAGCTGTTGTTGTGGTAGGAGCAGCTGTTGTTGTGGTGGGAGCAGCTGTTGTTGTGGTAGGAGCAGCTGTTGTTGTGGTGGGAGCAGCTGTTGTTGTGGTGGGAGCAGCTGTTGTTGTGGTAGGAGCAGCAGTTGTTGTGGTGGGAGCAGCTGTTGTTGTGGTAGGAGCAGCTGTTGTTGTGGTAGGAGCAGCTGTTGTTGTGGTAGGAGCAGCTGTTGTTGTGGTGGGAGCAGCTGTTGTTGTGGTAGGAGCAGCAGTTGTTGTGGTGGGAGCAGCTGTTGTGGTAGGAGCAGCTGTTGTTGTGGTAGGAGCAGCAGTTGTTGTGGTGGGAGCAGCTGTTGTTGTGGTAGGAGCAGCTGTTGTTGTGGTGGGAGCAGCTGTTGTGGTAGGAGCAGCAGTTGTTGTGGTGGGAGCAGCTGTTGTTGTGGTAGGAGCAGCTGTTGTTGTGGTAGGAGCAGCAGTTGTTGTGGTAGGAGCAGCAGTTGTTGTGGTGGGAGCAGCTGTTGTTGTGGTAGGAGCAGCTGTTGTTGTTGTGGGAGCAGCTGTTGTTGTGGTGGGAGCAGCTGTTGTTGTGGTGGGAGCAGCTGTTGTTGTGGTAGGAGCAGCTGTTGTTGTGGTGGGAGCAGCTGTTGTTGTGGTGGGAGCAGCTGTTGTTGTGGTGGGAGCAGCTGTTGTTGTGGTGGGAGCAGCTGTTGTTGTGGTGGGAGCAGCTGTTGTTGTGGTAGGAGCAGCTGTTGTTGTGGTAGGAGCAGCTGTTGTTGTGGTAGGAGCAGCTGTTGTTGTGGTAGGAGCAGCTGTTGTTGTGGTAGGAGCAGCAGTTGTTGTGGTAGGAGCAGCAGTTGTTGTGGTGGGAGAAGCTGTTGTTGTGGTAGGAGCAGCTGTTGTTGTGGTGGGAGCAGCTGTTGTTGTGGTGGGAGCAGCTGTTGTTGTGGTGGGAGCAGCTGTTGTTGTGGTGGGAGCAGCTGTTGTTGTGGTAGGAGCAGCAGTTGTTGTGGTAGGAGCAGCTGTTGTTGTGGTGGGAGCAGCAGTTGTTGTGGTAGGAGCAGCTGTTGTTGTGGTAGGAGCAGCAGTTGTTGTGGTGGGAGCAGCTGTTGTTGTGGTGGGAGCAGCTGTTGTTGTGGTAGGAGCAGCTGTTGTTGTGGTGGGAGCAGCAGTTGTTGTGGTGGGAGCAGCTGTTGTTGTGGTAGGAGCAGCTGTTGTTGTGGTAGGAGCAGCTGTTGTTGTGGTGGGAGCAGCTGTTGTTGTGGTAGGAGCAGCTGTTGTTGTGGTAGGAGCAGCTGTTGTTGTGGTGGGAGCAGCTGTTGTTGTGGTGGGAGCAGCTGTTGTTGTTGTAGGAGCAGCTGTTGTTGTGGTAGGAGCAGCTGTTGTTGTGGTGGGAGCAGCTGTTGTTGTGGTGGGAGCAGCTGTTGTTGTGGTGGGAGCAGCAGTTGTTGTGGTAGGAGCAGCTGTTGTTGTGGTGGGAGCAGCTGTTGTTGTGGTGGGAGCAGCTGTTGTTGTGGTAGGAGCAGCTGTTGTTGTGGTGGGAGCAGCAGTTGTTGTGGTAGGAGCAGCAGTTGTTGTGGTGGGAGCAGCTGTTGTTGTGGTAGGAGCAGCTGTTGTTGTGGTGGGAGCAGCTGTTGTTGTGGGGGGAGCAGCTGTTGTGGTAGGAGCAGCAGTTGTTGTGGTAGGAGCAGCTGTTGTTGTGGTAGGAGCAGCTGTTGTGGTAGGAGCAGCAGTTGTTGTGGTAGGAGCAGCAGTTGTTGTGGTGGGAGCAGCTGTTGTTGTGGTGGGAGCAGCTGTTGTTGTGGTAGGAGCAGCAGTTGTTGTGGTAGGAGCAGCAGTTGTTGTGGTGGGAGAAGCTGTTGTTGTGGTAGGAGCAGCTGTTGTTGTTGTGGGAGCAGCTGTTGTTGTGGTAGGAGCAGCAGTTGTTGTGGTGGGAGCCGCTGTTGTTGTGGTGGGAGCAGCTGTTGTTGTGGTGGGAGCAGCTGTTGTTGTGGTGGGAGCAGCTGTTGTTGTGGTGGGAGCAGCTGTTGTTGTGGTAGGAGCAGCTGTTGTTGTGGTGGGAGCAGCAGTTGTTGTGGTAGGAGCAGCTGTTGTTGTGGTGGGAGCAGCTGTTGTTGTGGTAGGAGCAGCTGTTGTTGTGGTAGGAGCAGCAGTTGTTGTGGTGGGAGCAGCTGTTGTTGTGGTGGGAGCAGCTGTTGTTGTGGTAGGAGCAGCTGTTGTTGTGGTGGGAGCAGCTGTTGTTGTGGTAGGAGCAGCTGTTGTTGTGGTAGGAGCAGCAGTTGTTGTGGTAGGAGCAGCAGTTGTTGTGGTGGGAGCAGCTGTTGTTGTGGTAGGAGCAGCTGTTGTTGTGGTGGGAGCAGCTGTTGTTGTGGTAGGAGCAGCTGTTGTTGTGGTGGGAGCAGCTGTTGTTGTGGTGGGAGCAGCTGTTGTTGTGGTGGGAGCAGCTGTTGTTGTGGTGGGAGCAGCTGTTGTTGTGGTGGGAGCAGCAGTTGTTGTGGTGGGAGCAGCTGTTGTTGTGGTGGGAGCAGCTGTTGTTGTGGTAGGAGCAGCTGTTGTTGTGGTGGGAGCAGCTGTTGTTGTGGTAGGAGCAGCTGTTGTTGTGGTAGGAGCAGCAGTTGTTGTGGTGGGAGCAGCTGTTGTTGTGGTGGGAGCAGCTGTTGTTGTTGTAGGAGCAGCTGTTGTTGTGGTAGGAGCAGCTGTTGTTGTGGTGGGAGCAGCTGTTGTTGTGGTGGGAGCAGCTGTTGTTGTGGTGGGAGCAGCAGTTGTTGTGGTAGGAGCAGCTGTTGTTGTGGTGGGAGCAGCTGTTGTTGTGGTGGGAGCAGCAGTTGTTGTGGTAGGAGCAGCTGTTGTTGTGGTGGGAGCAGCAGTTGTTGTGGTAGGAGGAGCAGTTGTTGTGGTGGGAGCAGCTGTTGTTGTGGTGGGAGCCACTGTTGTTGTGGTGGGAGCAGCTGTTGTTGTGGTGGGAGCAGCTGTTGTTGTGGTAGGAACAGCAGCTGTTGTGGTAGGAGCAGCTGTTGTTGTGGTGAGAGCAGCAGTTGTGGTAGGAGCAGCTGTTGTTGTGGTGGGAGCAGCAGTTGAGGGGGTGGGAGCAGCTGTTGTTGTGGTGGGAGCAGCTGTTGTTGTGGTAGGAGCAGCAGTTGTTGTGGTAGGAGCAGCAGTTGTTGTGGTGGGAGCAGCTGTTGTTGTGGTAGGAGCAGCTGTTGTTGTGGTGGGAGCAGCTGTTGTTGTGGTAGGAGCAGCAGTTGTTGTGGTGGGAGCAGCTGTTGTTGTGGTAGGAGCAGCTGTTGTTGTGGTGGGAGCAGCTGTTGTTGTGGTGGGAGCAGCTGTTGTTGTGGTGGGAGCAGCTGTTGTTGTGGTAGGAGCAGCAGTTGTGGTAGGAGCAGCTGTTGTTGTGGTGGGAGCAGCAGTTGTTGTGGTAGGAGCAGCTGTTGTTGTGGTGGGAGCAGCAGTTGTTGTGGTAGGAGCAGCTGTTGTGGTGGGAGCAGCTGTTGTGGTAGGAGCAGCAGTTGTTGTGGTGGGAGTAGCTGTTGTGGTGGGAGCAGCTGTTGTTGTGGTGGGAGCAGCTGTTGTTGTGGTAGGAGCAGCTGTTGTTGTGGTGGGAGCAGCTGTTGTTGTGGTAGGAGCAGCTGTTGTTGTGGTAGGAGCAGCAGTTGTTGTGGTAGGAGCAGCAGTTGTTGTGGTGGGAGAAGCTGTTGTTGTGGTAGGAGCAGCTGTTGTTGTGGTGGGAGCAGCTGTTGTTGTGGTGGGAGCAGCTGTTGTTGTGGTGGGAGCCGCTGTTGTTGTGGTGGGAGCAGCTGTTGTTGTGGTGGGAGCAGCTGTTGTTGTGGTGGGAGCAGCTGTTGTTGTGGTGGGAGCAGCTGTTGTTGTGGTAGGAGCCGCTGTTGTTGTGGTGGGAGCAGCTGTTGTTGTGGTAGGAGCAGCTGTTGTTGTGGTGGGAGCAGCTGTTGTTGTGGTAGGAGCAGCTGTTGTTGTGGTAGGAACAGCTGTTGTTGTGGTAGGAGCAGCAGTTGTTGTGGTAGGAGCAGCAGTTGTTGTGGTGGGAGAAGCTGTTGTTGTGGTAGGAGCAGCTGTCGTTGTTGTGGGAGCCGCTGTTGTTGTGGTGGGAGCAGCTGTTGTTGTGGTGGGAGCCGCTGTTGTTGTGGTGGGAGCAGCTGTTGTTGTGGTGGGAGCCACTGTTGTTGTGGTGGGAGCAGCTGTTGTTGTGGTGGGAGCAGCTGTTGTTGTGGTAGGAGCAGCAGTTGTTGTGGTAGGAGCAGCTGTTGTTGTGGTGAGAGCAGCAGTTGTGGTAGGAGCAGCTGTTGTTGTGGTGGGAGCAGCAGTTGAGGGGGTGGGAGCAGCTGTTGTTGTGGTGGGAGCAGCTGTTGTTGTGGTAGGAGCAGCTGTTGTTGTGGTGGGAGCAGCAGTTGTTGTGGTGGGTGCCGCTGTTGTTGCGGTGGGAGCAGCTGTTGTTGTGGTAGGAGTAGCTGTTGTTGTGGTGGGAGCAGCTGTTGTTGTGGTAGGAGCAGCTGTTGTTGTGGTAGGAGCAGCAGTTGTGGTGGGAGCAGCTGTTGTTGTGGTGGGAGCAACTGTTGTTGTGGTAGGAGTAGCTGTTGTTGTGGTAGGAGCAGCTGTTGTTGTGGTGGGAGCAGCTGTTGTTGTGGTGGGAGCAGCTGTTGTTGTGGTGGGAGCAGCAGTTGTTGTGGTAGGAGCAGCTGTTGTTGTGGTGGGAGCAGCAGTTGTTGTGGTAGGAGCAGCAGTTGTTGTGGTGGGAGCAGCTGTTGTTGTGGTAGGAGCAGCTGTTGTTGTGGTGGGAGCAGCTGTTGTCATTGTAGGCGCAGCAGTTGTTGTGGTAGGAGGAGCAGTTGTTGTTGTAGGAGTGGCTGTGATACTGGTTTGTGCAGCTGTAACTGTCAAAGAATCATGACATCTACATTCATTTTTCCAATGGTATAAAGCTTCACTGAAACTGTTAATCATTTTATATTAGCTTACCTTTTAGCATCAGAAGTATCATTATGAGTCCTGCAGCCCCCATTTTCAATTTGTAGCCTGCAATATTTAACATAATAAAGCTTGAAAGAAGAAAACTGTTTGTATTATGAACTATAAAGAGCTACCTCTTTTAAATCTCTTCCACTGCTTTTAAATCGTATTCCGGAAATTATGTGGCCGATGTCAAACTGCTCTTTTTAAGTAAAGCAACAATGCATATTTAAAGGGAATATCAAAGCTCATATATAGGAACATTACTAAGGAAAAGGAGACATTAATAGGAAAGCCCTTCTAAATATGTTGATCTAACAGTAAAACATGTGATTTAGTAGAAGAGTTTAGTTCATTTTCAAAAATCTTGCAAGTATTTTTTGGGGACAACATAAGATGTCCAACCTCATTCCAAATACACTTGAACAATAACATTGAAATCCTCAAACACAAATTACATCAAAACCATAGTATTCATAGTCTGAAACCTTTTTTTTGTTTAGGATAACCATGTACATTTTATTTCAAGGACAATAAAAATGTTGCATGATCTGCAACCAGTGACTCATTCTAAAATTAAAAAAGAAATGAGTTATTATTTCTAATTATATATTTCTCATAGAATTTCAAATGTACTTACGGAAAGTAGTGGCTGATTTCAAAAGTTGCGCTTAACCTCTCCTTATTCACCTTAATCTTCTAGTGAACCACTCTGCTGCTGGGCCTTATATATATTGCCTGTTTATCAGTGGTATGACGTAGGCTAAGAAATAATTTCAATAATTTCAGACTTGTTTCACATTCCTTTTTAATAGTCATTCCATTCAGGTGACCAAACCAGACGTAATTTTCTTGTCTTGTTTATAGAAATGGGTGTGACACCTAACACAAAAAGGTTTTAAAGTTACAAAAGTAATTATATTCAGTGATTATATAAGAACCCCAAATTATTGTCACACTACTTTGCCTCAGAGTTGTTCCTGTGATTTTGGAAAGGCTGTGTATTTTTTGTTGATGTATTAGCTTTTGCTATGAAATTATTAATTCAATAACGCTCGAATGACTGTCAATATATATTTTCAAACTTCAGAAAGCAATGCATTTTTGACAGAGCTAGATAGTGTTTTTCAAAGATATTGTATTCAAAGAGGTAAGAATTTAAAGTCATGGCAGCAAACGTAATTTTTTCCAAAGTTTGGTATTTAATAAAATTAATATTTAGCAAAGAGGATTTCCTGCCAAAACAATATTAATGGATTGTAGAATTAAAAATGTATTTATCTGATAGACTATATATTTTTGGGAATCATCCCTTATCGGATTAGTTTTCAATCAGTTTCACCAAAAGAGTTCCAGACATGTTCAAACTAGAAAAAAGAACAGGACACTGCAGCAGCTGTTAAATTCAATTCAGTTTATTTCAGTTTATTTATTTAGCACAAATTCACAACACATGTCATCTCAGGCATTTTACAGTTCAAAAATAGTTTGTTGAATTATTTACTGTATGTAAAGCATAATAGTGTAAGTATTATGTAACATATTCTTATGTTTTATTATATTTTGTTAACTTTCTTCATTATCCCTTATATAGAAACCCTGATATGCATGAACAAAATGTTTATGCCTTTTTGTTTATTCCTATACTAAAATGAAAGCATTTTAACAGAATCGTCTGCTGGACTTTAAATGTAAAATATAAAAAAGTACATAGCAATTTTTTAATTTCAAATATATCAAAATAGCATCAGAATCGTTTTTTCAAATATTTAAGAGAACAGAAATCGGTTTGGGAGATCTTTACTTTTGGAGATATAAATAGGTGCAAAACTGGTCAAACCTCCAAAGACATGCAGGAAGGAAGAAAATGTTTGATGCACTCATTTGTTTCAAGAGTGCATAAGTATGTAACCTTTCTATTTTTGTATCAAAGAGATTTATCCCATGGGTGTGTTTCAAAGTCATAAACAAATTAAAATTAGTTCCTTTGTTTAGAAAAAACTGTGTAGTAGAGAATTGTTTTGACACTTGAATGCTTTCAGGTGGCTACATGATTTTTCCAAAACCTGAAAGAACATAGATCTTTATTTAAGACAGAAATTTATAAGCTATCTATATAAAAATACATCATATTTTTTCACTGTCTTAGTTAAATCAGAACTTTACTTTTTGTATAACTTTCTTTTTATACTGTGTTTGGAATAATGGGTACTTCATCCCTGAATAGTCATTCAGCTACTGTCAGTCCATTGTGTTTTTCCTATGTTTAAAGGCAATGTTACCAACTCCATGCAGTATCACAAGTTATTTTGATGATGTTATGCGATTGACATGCAATTCTAACATAGACATTCATCTGCTCCAGATATGAATGTATTTTTGTGCTCAAACAAATTCGTGGGAAATGTGCACTAGCAATCTGAACCTTTCAAAGTGTATATGTTTTAATCTTTCATGGGCTAAAAACATATTTAAATCTAAAACATATCAAATGAAGCGTCATTAGTCTTCAGAGTTCCAGAGGGGAACAGTACCCCTAGTTTTAATCACACTCGAGAAGAACTCACAACAACGCAACATTTGAGAATGTGAAGGGAGGATCGGGGTCTTTCTCACGCCCCTGTTCTCCGCTTGCCACCTAAGGTCTGGAGCATGGAGGAAGGGTGAGCCACCTGGTCTGGGGTCTTGGTGGGGGGGTTGTTGCGGGGCCTTAGTGGCTCGCAGGGACTGGGGCTGAAACTTCTGCTCTCCCCTAAAAGGGGTGGGGGTGGGGAGGGAGGGACTCTGTAAGTTATTTAGAGGGGGAGAGAGGTTCTGGTTGGGTGGCCGATACGGGACATGTTTGGCCCGTCCCCAGGGGACTTTTACCAGGCATCGTCTGGTCAGGCATGGGTGGTCGGGACCAAAGCAGGAACCAGATGGGTTAGATCAGCGGTCCCCAACCACCGGTCTGCGGGTCATTTGGTACTGGGCCGCACAGAAAAAAGTATATACATTATATATATATATATATATATATATATATATATATATATATATATATATATATATATATATATATATATATATATATATATATATATATATATATATATATATATAAAATTGTGATATTCTTTCCCAATTACATATGCATCTGTGCCTCTCACTTCAAGACTTATCCTATCTATAACATCCTATCTTTGTGAAAAGGGATTTTCTGTGGTTACAGCGACCAAAACAAAGCTACGGAGCAGACTGGACATCAGGAGCACACTTCGTCTGTCATTTTCTCCAATTACGCCTAGATGGAACCGGCTTGTTGTTTTATTTTTATGCTGTTTTATTTGATTTTATGCCAAGCGTATCATTTTACTTGATCGTACCCCCCCTCCTCCGGCCGGTCCGTGAAAATATTGTCTGACATATAGCGGTCCGTGGTGCAAAAAAGGTTCTGGACCGCTGGGTTGGATAGTGGCAGTGACACCACTCCCTTCCCACCCATCTGGATGTTGTGTCCATTTATGCAAGATTTTTGTAATTTCTTATTTCTACCAATTTATCTGTTGGTATGTAAAATATATTTAAGTTAATTTAGAACCAAACTTTGTAATTTATTTACTATATTTGGAATTGTTTGGAGTAAGTTGTTAATTGTTAGACCCTCCCATTAATATGAGTGATAAAGAGCACACCAGGTGTTGGGGGATGATGTGGTAAATGTCTGGTGTGGACGGGTGGATTTAGAAAAAGATTTTTTGACCACTTTTTTGGGAGCTTAAATTTTGTTTCTACTAAGTTCCAAGACATTATTAGTAATCTTTTTTGTTTTTTTGCTTTTACAATAGGTCGAACTGGAAGTGCATGCAAAAACATAAGTGCCTGTTACCATCCACAGCCTTTGTTGGAATTATTATTTGTATTTGTATTGTTTTTTGGTTTTTTTTGGAACAGAAGGCATTTACGTAAAAAAAATCATTATTTTTTTTGTTTTGTTTTTTGGACCTGCAAGTTTGGATATTGGAAAAGCTTGGAAGATTTGATGATCGGAATTGGATCACTGATACTTCACCGAAAGAACTTTCGAGAAGACGCACAAAGTTTGTGAGGGAATGCAATATTTTGTTGGAAAGAGCACAGACCCTGAACTGCAAAGAGAAAGGTTTGTTTTGAAAAATTTTCTTTTGGATGGGAGAAACAAAATTTGTGTTGAAAATGGATAAACAATATGAAGGATTTCAAAAAGAAAAAGCACTCTTTTATCTAATTAACAGGCGCAGAGCCTAACTCGGCATGCTGACAAGAAAAATAAATGATATTCATACTTTAATTGATGCTGGACAACAAAAATCCTCCATAGAAGAGCATATGAAAACCTTTAATAATTATTTGGCGGAGTTTATGGACTTGCAATCTTCAGTTTAAAGACTGCTTAATGATGATGAAAAAGAAACCGATCACAGCGATTGGTACGAACCAAAGCTGATCAGTTTTAAAGAATTCTTGGATGAAATCAAAAATTGGATGAATGGCGATCCAGTTGCACAGAAGAGTGAAGTATGTTCAGTGTTTGATGTTGAATTAAAGGTGGCATGTCATGACAGCGATGTTGAGCCGGATGACAGCATCTCACAGACTGCGGAAATGATCGGCAAAGACTCTGAAAGGCTATCTGGGTCCGCAGCTAAACCAGTCAGCAAGGACATAAGCACGGCGTCCAGTATAATGAGTAAAGGTAGTTCGCAGAGTAAGAGTTCCTGTGCGGCTTCAATGGCACTGATGGAAGCTGAAGTGGAACGAGCCGCTCTGAAAGCAGAGGTGGATGAAAGAAAAACATGTGTTCGAGCTGGAAGAACTTCAGATAGAAACAAAAAAAGAAGCATTGGCTTTGAAAACCAAGCTGTTAAAGGCAGATGCAAAGATGACAATCTTCAACTCTATGCAAGATCAGAAAAGTCATGTCTCCAGCACTGGTGTTGCCAATATAGCAGTTTCTGCGACATCTACTTAGTTCATATCCGCTGCTACAGCTCAAGCTCCAAGAACACAGAAAAGATCGTCTACTCTTGCACCTATACCAATGCCCCAAGAGACGCCTATTAATGAAACTTTAAAAGTGAAACCAGAAGGGTAAAGCCACAGACAAGTATCTCAGGTTGATGCTCAGTGCATTAACAGCGATTATGAAGAAGTAGAATAAAATCCCTGAGATGATTGTAAAACAGCAAAGACTGTCACTTCTGCCATCTGTAGAAATACCTGTTTTTAGTGGAGATCCTTTGCATTTTAGATTCTTTCTTGAGGCATCTGAGCAAGGAATATAAACTAAGACAGATAACATGCAAGACAGGCAGTATTACTTTTACCCCAGGCCACACTAGAGCTTTAGTGAGAAGCTGTATGCATATGAGTCCACAAACTGCTTACTGCTTGAAAGCTTGATTGGAACTTTGATAACAGGTCAAAAATAACATCTGCATTTACAGACAAAGCTCTGAGTTGGTCAGTTTTAAAGTCTGATGATGGTGCAGCTTGAAGAGCTTACACATTCTTTTTAAGAAGTTGTTTCAACACAATGGATGAACCTGGTTTATTGAGCTTGAAAAAAAAAGAGAATTCTTGTTTCAAAGTTGCCCTCTAGACTTCGTGACAAATGGAGACTAATTGTGGTTGACATAGCAGAAAAGTATGATCATAGGGCAAAGTTTAAAGATCTTCTACAGAACAGA